ATTGGTTTCTAGCCCAGCAGCCAGTTGGAAAAGCTTTAGCATAATGAACAAAATCATTGATGTTAACAGTAATTCTCTACATAATAGAATGTAAAAGTAAAAGACGTCTATATCTATCAATAAAGAAGTCATTGGAAGAGTCTGATGTTAGGTCCTAGGAAACATCCTGGTCTTAACAGGAGCAACATATGCTATTAGGAGAAATACATAGCAATTGCTTAAGTATACTTATTTAATAATTTAAAAATAAAATATTTTCAGTAGACAGCATCTTCCCTGTTCCCTGCTTTGCCTGGTACCTCTGAGTCTAGCACTTCTCTTCAGAGAACAAACAAAATAAACTTCCAGTTTTCTGTCTGGTTGAGAGAGGGGTATTCACCTGGTTGTGTGGGGGTGGAGGAGAATATCTAGGCTTCAAACTATTCCTTACTCAGATTTTCAACCAAACCTGTTTTCTCTTCAGAGGTGCCCAGGGCTTCCACATCCTGAATTTTTCCTAGTTCTGAGGCTTAAATCAGCTTCTTTCTTGTTGGCATCCCAATTCGCAGGGCCAGATTTCAGTGTTTCAACTCTGTTAAGTCAATTATCAACCATCCGTCCATTTTCCATATTCCAAAATTTGGCTGACATTGGGACTCCTGCTGATTCCTTTCCAGTACTCTTTGCTGTGTAGGATTTATTTATGATTTTTACATTTTTTACTATCATTTTGGTGAGGTTTGGGGAAGGAGTAGAAATAAATGAATGTTGCTCTTTGATCTTCTATGTTTAACTATATCCTCAAATTTATGTCTTCTCATTTATAAGTTCTGTTTTTTTTAATATTCCCTACCCTATGGTAAAAATATTCACTTTTGATTTTTTTCTATTCATTTCCAAGTTTTGTTTATTATGTAACCTAGTTTATTTTAGTGTGGGGTAGGAATTTTGAATTTAAGTTTATTGTTCCCACATAATCGATTGTAATCTACTATTAATAGAATAATCTACCCTTCTAATTTATATTACTTCCTCTATTATTTAAAAAATTACCATATATACTTGGGCCTGTTTCTAGGCTTTCTCCTTTATTCTATTGATCTATTTGAGTATTCTTGTGCCAATAACATTTATCTAAATTAGAATTGCTCTATAAAAATCTCCTTGCCTATTTTTAGATCTTTACTTTGTCATATTTACTACTATTTTGTCAAATTCTACAACTTGTCATTTGGGGATTTTAACTGGAACAATGAACGTATAGATTACTTAGAGGAGAATTTACATCTTTACAATTTTGAGTATTTCTGTTCGTGAAGATAGTATATGTTGCCATTTATTAAGGATTTTGTGTCCTTAAATCAGGTTTTGTAACTTTCTTGCATACATTTTATTACATTTATCCCAGGTAATGCACACCTTTTGTTATTATTAAGGATAACGTATTTTTCCATTATATCTAAAAATTAGAGATGGCTGGTTACAGGAACTCTGGATTTTTGCATCTTGAATGCAATTCCAGCAATCTTTCCAAGCTCTTCTATTAGTTCTGATAGATTTGTAGATTCTCTTGAACTTTCTACATATAGCAAATAAAGACATTTGTTTTTCTTTCTAATCCAAACAGCTCTTTTTTCTACTTTTTTTTTTTTTATCGAGGATAGGGATCCAGCACATTTTTTTAGTTGTAGAAGAGATAATAGTCATTCTTGTCTTTTCATTGTTTATAACGGGAATGCTTTTAACATTTCATCATTAAACATGATGTTTGCTATAGATTTCTGGTAAATGTCTCCCATTATGTTTATAAAGATTCTCTTCCTAGTTTTCTAAGAGACTTTTTAATCTATAAATGATTACTAATTTTACCAAGTATTATCTTGTATCTATTGAAATATTTCTTTTTTCTATTTCCTTTATTTATTTACTTTTAATTTTAAACTGCTAATGTATATTATATTTCAATAGATTTTCAGATTGTGAACCATCTCTGCATTGGTCTTTTTTTTTTACACTATTGGATTCAGTTTTCTAATTTTTTTTTTCTAGGTTCATAAGTGCACTTAATCCAAATTCTCTATTTTTTTTGTACTTTGTTGTCCAATTTTGATATTAAGATTCTTACAGTCTGTTTTTATTGTTTTAAAAACCTGGGTGTCAGGAAAGGTTTCATTTGACTAAAAGAATGTGAGTAGGGGTGCCTTTTAAAAGTTTTAAACCCTCTTTTCTATTCAATAAAATAGATATTTTAAGCTGGAAGGATGTATATTTTTCATGAACTAAGTGAAGTGACTCTAATTTTGAATGAAAAAAGTATGGCCTGTTTTTCCTTTTCCTAAGTTGAAACACAAGCAAAATATAATTGCTACATGACTGCAAACACTCAGTTGGAATTCAAAGCATACAATGAATCATCCAGATATTTCTAGATGTCTCTTTAGATTCATTATGGTTTGATTAGGTAGATATATCCTATGAAAGACAAGCTATTCTTTATCTGGGATGATCCAAATGGGAAATATATTCCACGGAAATTTCCTGTATAAAGTCTGTGTATTTTCAGCTGCTTACAAATGACCTCTGGAAAGAATAAATACTATGAAAGTAAAGTTTCTCACAGCAGAGATTAGGCAACATATGCCTTTTTTTCCTTTTATTCCCTTTTCTTTCTTTTTTATATTCTTGTTTGTTTAAAAAAACATAAAAAGACAAAGAAAAAAGAATTCTTCTGTATCATGGTGTATAATACATGGAATTTGTTAAATTATTCTTCCAACTATATAGTTCCTCCACAATAAGTCCATTTTCAAATGCATAAAAACAGGCGGAATGGGTGCTCACCCACTATACCCTGCATATCCTGAATTTATCTAGGGAAACATACTTCTTTTTTCAAAAGACATAACCCAAAAATATTTAGCCGTTTATCTTCTAAAAACCATGCAAAATGCACGTCCCTTCACGTTTCCTGTTGATAATGTTTTCCCTATTTGTAACACAACTTTTCTTTCCTCTGGAAAGCTGGTACTTACTTTATTCATAGGTTCCAAATTATGCCCTGATGCTGTTCAACCAAAGGGCATTGCTCATACAAGTGAGGAGAATGTTGCTCGGGATATAATGGTATAATCAGCAGTGGCTGCAGAAAATAGCCCTTCCAAAAAGGCCCCACCGAGTCATGGACGATACTGCCCGGACGGAGATCACGTGCCCGGAATGTCTCTGGACATAGGTCATATCTTCACACAGACATTTCCAAATGAGTTGTTTTCAAAACTCCCTGATGTCTGCGCTACAATGTCTTCGAGTTCAGCAGTTTACCAGACTATAGAGTATTTTTCTATCTTTTCTATCTCTGTTGAGATATGGGACGTCTCCAACGCAAAACTGGCCGTGTTCCAAAAATTTGTTTCTAAATCATTTATTTGGGATTGGAAACATTTTCCCATAGGAACAATTTTATAAACAGTGGTGTTCCACAAAGGCCTGGTTGAGCCACAGTGTGCTTGAAATGCAACATCGACTGTATTATTCCCACCAAACATTATTTATTCTGTTTCTCTGGGAAAGTGCACTCTGGGTTTTAACTTGGGATGCCTGAAACTCACCTCTCCTGCTGCTGCCTGGTAGCCTCAGCTGTAGCTTTTTTTGGCTGTGCAGCAGTAGCAGTCAGGAAGAGGAGAGGGAGCAGCCCTCCCAAGAAAGAGACCGGTGTAGAGAGTTGATATTGATTCCTCTGAGTAACCTGTTAATGCTGGCAGGCTGAAGAAGGAAACCACTCACGTGGATCAGTCACTTTCCAAGTGTTCTGAATGAAGCACAAAGGGAAAGGACTTTTTCCTAAACGGAGATCATTTCTAAGTCAGATCTCCATAAATAGGGAAAGGCTTATACAGTAAAACCTCAAATTTTTGAAGACCAAGAGTCTGGACTTGTAATTAGCCAGGGAAAATATTTTAAAGCTTCTTGGTCAGTGATGAAATAGTTTCCAAACACATAACAAGAATGAGACATACATCTTGCACGTAGTTCCAGGCCTAACAAATAGTAGGTGCTCAGAAAAAAGATTGTTTTTTTTTTATTTAATTAAGCACTACTTGAGTGAATTCTATATGAAAAGGACAATATCACGATCATATGCATGTGTGGGCTGGTTAACTGCATTCTCATTCAGCATCTCCTAAGTCTGACCCTATCATAGCATACATCTTACCAATGAAGAGTTGGTTAGAGCTCTTTCAAGAAGTCACTTGAACATTGTCACCTCTGTTCACATACAAATTTTATACAACAGCCCCAAAGCAGGTGCTGGGTCTCTTCACACCCTCTCTGTCATGCATCAGTTTCTAGCAATTTGTAGTACTATCTCCCTATTGCTAAATCTGAGGAAATAAGAGGGAGTACGAGAGGGAGGCAATGTGGAAAATCAGTGAGAATAAACATTCAAGCCTGTAGGACCCTGCCTAGCAGTGCCTGGCCCTAGGTTTATTCTGGCCAATGCTACCTGCTAAAAAAGACCTAAGGCTTTTTTTTTTTTTTGGTGGGAGGGGGCAGGTTGGTTGTTTTTATAACGCATGTAGACAAATTTTGGAGGAGCTTGTGCCTCTTTCGGGCTGGAATTTAGTCTGCACAGCAAACTAAATGGGTCCTGCCCATTTCAGGTTTTAGAATTGCATAACGACTTAAATTCATTTTGTACGTGCAACTACTTTGAAAAGAAAATACACCACCAAGGCTCCCTCTGTTAAAAAGCCTTCCCCACCCCCCACCTCCAATAAACCTATCTACTGTTAACTTTTTGTTTCATAGACTGTGCTTTCTTTTTAAAGCTCCATTTGTGTTCTATAAGACAGCCTCTTTCTCCAAGATTAACATTTCTTATGATTGTTCCTGACAATGGATCCACTTCCAGAGGCCCTGCTAAGGATAACCAAAAAAGGGCATGGAGCAGGCTGGTTTTGGCAGCCTGCACGCAGTTTCAGAGCTTTTTAGGTCTTGGTTTTTCTGATGAGTGATTTCCTGAGCATGCCTAGGGAATGACAGGCATCTCCACAGGCAGGCTGCATCCACCTTGGCCTGGGTGGCGTCATTGGCTGCCTATTAGAAAAACTACAGGACAATGCATACCACCGCCTGCCGACTGTAAACATAGAGGATATGTGTTCACTTAGCATGGACTTCTGGGAGGGGCCAAGGAAGGGCGGTCTGGAGTTTTATTGAATAGAGCAGTGTGTATTATTAGGCTGCCTGCCTGCCTGCACTCTTGCTGTGTGCTCCTGCTTAAAGAAATCAGTCCTTCCTTCTGACTTAGTCCTTCGGGAAGAAGTTTCAGCCTACAAGGTAAGGCGCAGAGGGCTTTCTTTTTCTCTTCTAGAGAATCTGGGGACTTTCTCTGGGTTTCAGTCAACATTCCTGGCTAAGGTAGCCAGGGATACAAGATCATTCAAGGCAATAAACCATGCAAATTCCCAGAGCCAGACTGGGCTTCACTGCCCTGCGGATGTACCTGGAAGGCGAACAGGATGAGATTTCCAGTTTTGTTTTTGGAGTTGGTACAAGAGGAGAGATCATATAGAGACTCATATTAGGGAGCACTGGCAGCTCTGATTAGGACAGCCTTTTGTTTAGGAGAGCCATACGGCTCATACCTGATAGCCCCAGACCAGTGTTAGTGGCTTTCTGGGCCAATCTGCTCACCCGGCTGTCTCCCCTGCATCTTTTATTACCAAAGCTTTAAAGAGGTTTTGCTTTTAAAACAACAGCAACAATTCTTTAGATTGATGAGAAGCCAAAAATGGATGATTTTTTAAAATCAAAGTCATTTATTTTTTAATTCTGCTACCAGTATTTAAGAACTAAGTACCTAAGAACCAGTATCTAAGAACTGGATTTCCAGACCTACAAGGAAGTAAGGTCAGGGGTGGAGAGAGAGCACTAGCACCTGGCGCCCGTGGGGTTAATATCACTGATCTGATGTTTGCTAAGACAGAAGATGCCTACCCTGATCTGTTTCCTATAAAACCTAATAACAAGAGAATGCATGTGCCAGTGGGTGTGTTTTTAGAAAGCACATTTAACATCCTACCTATTTCTTAAGAAATCTTATTTTCTATTTGAAAGTGTGCCTGAGTGTGTCTAAGGAATTTGAAAAGATATTGACTGGAAATGTGCTCCAGAAAGGAAGGAGACAGGCTTTTATTTCGAGGTAGATGTATTTGGGTGTCTAAAGCAGAAGTACAAGGCAGCTAGTTGGTGGTAGCCTGGAATTCCTTTTAGAAAGAGCTGATTGTACGGGGCGGGGGATTTTAGTGCTGTGGCAATACATGGTCAAAAACGGTGGATGAGAGAGAACAAAGTCGTTGGTATTCATAGACCCCTTCTGCTAACAAGATGAACTTTGCCGATGAACTTATAAACCGAAAAAGTAAAATCTTTCTAATGTGCTTGGCAAAATAAGACATATATAGCTAGAACTTGAGTGAAGACTAGGTGCTATGTGGCAAAAAGAATAAATTTGATGATTTTTTAATAATGCTGACTGTTAAAGCCTACCAGCTTCAGATCAATTTAATTTGATTGCATTCCATGGAAGGCAGTAATTTTGGGCTGAGATTCATTAAATAATGTTTTCTCTTTGTATTTAGAAGTTTGGGGAGAATTTTCTTGAGAGTGCCTCTCTCTCCTTCTAGAAGTGATATATGAGAACAGAATTCCCTGTGAATTTCTTTCCCTGGAACAGTTCTGAGTAAGTGTGAGAGAAAAGCTGCAGGCCAAAGCTAGAGTTTGATTATTGTCCTTCCCTTGAAGAGATCAAGTTCCAAACTATTCTCACAGTGTTTTTAATGTCAATCAAAATACGGAGAGCAATTTCTTTTTCAACTGTTCTGTAAACCGTGAAGGAAATGCAGTTTGGAAGGAAATCTATAATCTTGGGATTTGAGAACAAATTCCATCTTGAAACCAACATCTCCAAATCCTTAAAAGTTCAAACCTTGCTATGACCACCCTCTCCCCTCCTCTTCATGTGCTCAAAAACCACAGAAACATTTAGGTTTTTCAGAATAACACTGCAAGTGTTGTACTATCTATGTAGTGATGGAGTGAGAAGGTTTTAGTTTATGTTGAATTTCAGGCGGCTCTTTGTGCTACTTCCCTCCTGCTGAATATTAGCTAGAACACACATCCCCAGATAGGGAGGTAAACAGAGCACAAAGAAACCAAAGTGTGAGAACTTTCATTTTGCTAAAATCATTTAATAAAGAGAACTATAATAGCCAAATTCTGGGGGGAAAAGATCAACTAAAAGAAGAGTTGATCTTAGTACACACAAAGAATGTACAATGGATTGATCTATAGGTAACGTGTAGGATTATTTCCATTATTCAAAGCCGATAGAATGTGCAGTTAAAATAATTCAAATCAAAAGACTGCCTTAAATAAATACACAATTCTTGTATTAAAGTTAAGAGGAGAACCAGGCTCAAACTACAGCTTAAAGGATTTAAATGAGATACATGGGAGCATTTCCTGACAGGAAGGCAGGCTATTAACAGTTCTAATTGGCTCCTGTGACTGACCCGAGAATCTCCTGCTCTTGGGTGGATAGAATAGGATGGTCCTGTAGCCAACCATGGAAAGTTCCAGAATCCAGCCCAGGTATTCTTTGTTCTTTCTGATAAGTAAAATGTACCTCAGTAGGCATTTTCTTAAAAACACACGTAGTTGTCTCCATTTGCCATTTTCATGGTAGTGTGATCACTAGTCATTCTTTAGCAGGACAAAAAAGTGACTTAGAGACAGGCATGAAAAGGGATTAGCTAGTTCCCCATCTCCCCACGTGTCTCAGAAATGCGGTGGGGGCACCGGGGAAATTGCTGACAAAATGGTATGTAAATAGCATGGTAGGACCAAGGAAGAGGTTAGAAAGATGCTGCCAAGGAATTTTTAGACTGCAAAAAGGGGTTTTCTGGGTAAGTTCTCTCAGAACCTGAAAAGAGAATGGTTAGCTCCTTCCTGCAAGTCCTTCATCTGTCAGGCTAATCCAAGTTTGGCATTGGAGAGATGCCCATAAGCTCTGAGCAGCTGGGGAACTTAAAGAGAGGCTTTTAGCTCAGGCTTAACTCATGAGACCAACTATAAGACCTTAGTTCTAATACTGGTTCTTCTACTTAAATAACCTGACCTTTGAGGACATCATCAACCCTTTGCCCTCATCTGTAGAATGGACATTGCAACATTTCTCCCGTGTCCCACAGTGGTTAGGTTAAGATGTGCAAATGAGATGAGGCTGTACACACCCTGAGCTGCCCACAATTTGAGTCCTATGGACATTATGCTCATCTTGGCTGGGGTCCTTCACTTCTTACCTAGCATCTCTAATTAGCTCCTCCTTTCTCATACTTGAGGACCCTTGAGTGGTACCTTCTGGCTCCTAGTTCTTTCTAGAACTCCAAGCCCAAAGTCCAGTGAATGTTGGTCAATCCCAATGTTGTCTGAATTTTGGCTTTAATGATCAGAGACCAAGAGGACACAAATATAAGGAAGTGGACTAAGATGGGCTATCAGTAGTACGAGGTGATATCCAGGGACAGGGAAATCTGAAGATCCAGTTGAGGAGAAGACCAAAGACAAAGTGCTGACAACAGAAACGCTTCAGTAAATGAGGCAGCTTCTCTGCCTCCAGCCAAAGGCATGGAATGAATCCCAGCATATCAAGCCCGGGCCTTGCAGGGAGGGTGAGGTAACCAGGAGCACCTGGCTATGGTTCCTGCTGGTATTGAGACCAGATTGCTGCTCGGAGCTTGTCTGTCACCTCTGTCTGCCTGGGTCCTTAGTACTTCCAGCAGCAACTGACCCCAGGTGGCATCCCTAACTTCCTTACCCCAAGTCCTCCACCTTTACCCTCTTCCCCAGCACACCCAGCCCCAAGCCAAACACGTGGCTTTCCTGATCCAACATTGACAATCTGCAGGGCCCAGCTGTAGGTCAAAGCCCAGAACATAGCAGAAGGGTCTAGCACAGATACGTTCCAGATTGGAAAATCTGCTTGAGCAGACACAGTAGATGTCAGAGCACGTTCTGTGGTAAGGGGCCACTCCGCTTCTCACCCCAAACTCACAGTTGGCTGGCAGGAAGGAAAGGATGGCCCCGAGCTGTGAGGAAGAAGTGATGAGGTTGTCCCTGTCAGTTGTTCTTCCCTGTGTTGTTATTATGAAGACCTTTGAGAATCTGATAAAATCTCTGAAGTCTTAGGTCCTTTGTAAGCCCACCCTTTGTGATTGATAGCGAGAGACCCTTGAGCTGGGGGAGATGAGGCTGGGGAATGGGGGAAAATCTTGATTCCCATAGAAGACAAGGGTGCATGGCATCAGAACACGAGTGGCGGTAGAATCACAGGGAAATCCAAGAACAGAAGCCAAAATAGGACCGGGGTCCACAGAGAGTGGAGCCAGAGTCAAGATGGGTGAAAGGATCCCAGCAGAGGTCTACGGATCTCCACTCAGTGTGTTTCCATTAATGTAACTCAGCTGCGGCATGTGTCTGCTTTCCATTGTTCTATCAACCGGAAAATTCCTTCTGTGCTTCCAGGTCAGATTCTGAGAGCGGAGATCTTATTCGTTCAGCCAAAAACTATTGTCTTTGTTTGGCAAATCCCTTAGCAGGAGGAGGACATCAAAGGCATGGGCGTGCCTACAATGAATTACTCTAATCCAGCCAGTGCTCACCCCTGGGCTTAGAAGAGCCCAGTGGGCAATTTTAGTTAGAAGAGAAATTGAGCGTGGAAGGCAAATCAGCTGAAATGTCCAGCAGCTCTCAATGGATATCATTTGAATTTTTACGTGAATGAATTCCTAGAGAAGCAAAGATGAATGATCATACAGTTGCTGACGACCACCTTGGCATGACCCAATGCGCTGGTCTTCGGGGAGATTAACCTGGAAGTTTTCACCACTGGCAATTGACAAGATAAGAATCATCCATTTCAGAAAGATCCTAGAGAAAAACATTTTGAATAGTTTGGTTGCCAAGGAACTTCATATAAACCACAGGTGTGATATGGCTCTCCTCAAATAAAGGCATCGTGAAAATTCAATAATGATTTAACAATTTTAATAAATAGAAGCCAATACATCCCAATGAAAATCATAATACTTAATAAGCTGAGCACATAAAAGCTAGTGTTCTCTTAATCAGCGGAAGTGATTAATTGCCTAAGGTCTAGGAGATATTTGCAATGTAATTTTTCAGCCACTGAATACCTGTGCTGATGCCCATCAAGCAGAGTAGAAGATCCTCTGCATTCTGCACAGCTCAGATCACATTTGGAGCATCTTGCTCTG